CGCGGGGATGTACCCGGCGACCTGCGTATTGCTCCCGGCCACGGCGACACTGGTCCCGAGTGATAGAACTCAACTCGTGCTGGGATACTCCCTTCGCCGATCCACGCCGACCAGCGTGGTGAAGTATAGTCAAAGAACCCCAGCCGAACCCGTGACTCGCATGGCGTGGGACGGCCTTCTTCATCCAGCAGCAGATTGATACAGGGCATTACATTATTTATTATTTACTCACAACTGTCGGGGAAGCACCTGGCTGGTATGTTTGGTCACCTACGGTTTGAATTTATTTCGGTAAAGTCACGTAGGTACAAAATATAAATAAAAAAAACTGGATCACGACGTTTCGATGGCAACACAAGCAATCATCATCAGGTGTGAGAAACTACTGCAAGAATTGTGGTAAGAGGTTATATAAGAGAGGGGGGAGGGGGCAAGGGAGGGGGGAGTAGGGGGAGGGTAGCGTTGTATGGATGCTGCTGGACGGGAAGTGGGCGGGGCTAGAAGGGTGGGGGGGATGGTGCAAAAACGCGTGGGTCTTGCTGTAGTTCTCACACCTGATGATGATTGCTTGCGTTGCAATCGAAAAGTCGTGATTAAATTTATTTTATATATTTTTTTACATATATTTTATACCTACGTGACTTTACCGAAAGAACCAAAGCGTATGGATCTCTGCAGTCACGAAAACTTCAAATCTAGATTGAATTTATTTATTTCGATTTTAGACAGGAGACAGGAGTGCCCAGAGAAAACCAATGCGTACGAGAGAAGACCCACACTTCTTTGTACAGGCAGGTCAGTGATCTACTTGCTGTACCGCCTCTTACAAGCAGGGCCCAAGCAAGTGGGTGTCTGGTGGGGTTCACTGTGCAGCCATAGTCCTGGGCACCCACCAACTTGCACCGACTAGTGTGGTGAAGAATGTTCAAACAATCACCACGGCTGACCATGGCCTTCGAAAACTCCTCGTTTAAAAGCAGTGGACCGATAGAATCGAAATGATTGTGATATCGCAGTGATCTCAGACGCACTAATAAGGACATTGCTGTACTTTTAATTTCCATGCCCTACCTCGCTGCCCAGCTATTGCGAAATATAATTGAATCCCAAGTCGCAGCGATTAGGGGCCGTCCATAAATGACGTCACGCGGTTTTGGACGATTTTTGACCCCCCCTCCCCTTGTCACACGGCGTCACAAAAAGTCAGACCCCCCCTCAAATATAACGTCACAAAGCTCAGCCCCCCCAAAGAAAACATGCTTCAAATCGCTTTAAACTATTGTTGTGCGTATTTAATGTGCCGCTGCACTCTGATGTTGTAGGAGAAAACATTTATATAAAAAAGTCTATTTAATTAAGTAGAACGTGTTGTCTATATTTATTTAAAGTTGCGCATTTTTATGTGACGTCACATTTCTCAACCCCCCCCCCCTCGTCACACATCGCACAAATGTCTGACCCCTCCCCCCCACCCTAGGTTCGTGACGTCATTTATGGACGGCCCTTACTCCATCCGTGGGGAAATACAAGTTTTACCTCGGTTCTCCATGTGTGACGCTGGCCGGGAGGTCATGGCCTTTTAAGGGGTTTCCTGCCTTCAAGAGGTAGCAATATGAATTTGGAGTCGCTTAGTTTACTAAGAATTATATATCGTCCCAGATTTCGTTATAAGGAAATACATCCTGACGTACAGTGTATGCGCCATAGATTCACTAACGCTGTATAATTTATCACTTTGGATATTTTAACTACACGATCTTTGCATTCACAGAGCCTTAAAACACACGCACACGCACACAGGTGCGCACACGTCCACGTGCGGACAACACCTGGGACTCGAGGAGGAGCAGTCGAGAGCGTGGCCCTCATTAACGTGCAGGCACGAGGACGGAGCGTTCGAGCGTGCACAACGCGAGTTGGCAGGGTAGATTAGCGCTCTGAAATTACGCTTGCCTTTAATAGCTACTGTCACGCCCTGCCTGTATAATTTACCTGGATATGTTATAAAAGTGTAATGAAAAAAGATGTACACGTGGCTGAGAACAGTGTGATTTTTTTTACGTTGATAAATTATTTCAACTCCGCGATTTTTTATTTTACCATTCAGCTATACGGCTCTTTTTCAGAAGCGACCTTGCCACAAATGATAGCTCAACGAAGTGGCGTATGTGGAAATTTATAGCAGCCAAATACTCGAAATACTCCAAATGTATAGTCGGAGGACATCAAAAAAGTATTGGCAACTAAAAACCTCAAGTCTTAACAGTCCCCACCCCCATATTCACGTGTGTCAGCGGTGCTGTTTAACTTTACAAGAATATGTTTGAATTCGAATGAAATACTGAAATATCCTTTAAGCAGTCGTGAGCATGCTGAGATGTAATTGTCCCATGTAACTTGTTCCGTGGGAATGATTTATGTGTATATATATTTTTTTTACAATTACAGCTTTAAAAAGTTTGGGGTAGCAGCTATTACACGGGCACAAACATATTTTTTTAAAATTGAAGTCACAGGGTCTTTAATGTCGACCTCACATGTGACGGTGCACTTCAGTAATTTCCTTTCGTGCTCCACGTGGCTCTCCAGTGTGTTTTAGGGCCGTGCCGCGTGATGTTCGATACGATGTCTGACGTTTCGCTCCACGAGCTGGGAGCTTCTACGGGGAACTGAATTCAGTGCTGGGAGCTTCTTGACTTCAGCTCATGAAGACGCTCCTGGCATGATAAGTGAAATGTCGGACATCATGTGAAACAACACACGGTAAGGATATTACCAGAGGGAATTTGGGAATTAACTGGCGAATTAGTGCCAAATGCCTTCGTGGCAAGTGCCCCCACACGAGTTTATACTGCCACCGTGACTCACTCAACTGCTGTGTCAGTTTCTGCTCACCATACAAATCATTTGAAGTTTCGCAATTTTCGAGTTAGTGTGCGTATCTAAAGGCTCTGACCAAATCATTCGGAAATGAGCCTGTTCTCGAAAGCTAAGCAGGCGTTGAGCTTGGATAGTGCTTGGATGGGTGACGACTATGCAAAACAGGCGCTGTAGGCTGCTGCAGGGTCATGTTTGCGGGAAGCAGAGAAGCGCAACATCCACTGTTGTACTGTACTTGTACTCCCTGCCATCACCAATCCACACTCACCAGCATAGTGAAGAATGGACATACAACCCCTATGACCCATGCACTAGGGAAAGGCCATCACTGAGCAGCGGAGTGACGAACGGGATATACATGTTTTGCGCAATGTCATTTTTCACGGCTGTGATGAAGGGGCCGTGGCCATGCAGGCCATGCGAGAGAGACATCGCCTCCCCGTGCGGCCTTACATGAAGCCACTTAGTTTTGGCATGGGTATCTGGGCATAGAACCTGCTTGAATGTCACAGCTTACATGCGTGTGCCTGTCCCCAAATCACCATGAATGTGCACGATCTCATCGGATCTCATAAGCCAAGCAGGCTTTGGGGCCTGGCTCGTGCAATCAGATAACAAACCCTTTCATTCAATATTATTCCTAGAATGAGGATGGCGGAGTACAGCTTATTCATATTGCCGCAAATTGTGCTTATGATTATTACATGAAACAGCCTTCCAAACACACACACAAGAGGGCTTCAAAAAACGAAAGTGTCATTGATTAAAGTGTGGAAATCCTCTGTCTGGAAAAGAAACGGTGAACAACGCACGCTGCGGTTTGTGAGTGTTGTCCTGTACGTAAAATGAATTAACTTTTATATTATTGGTTCTTTCGGTAAAGTCACCTAGAAGAGAAACAATAAAATAATAAAAAAACGCCACGTTTTTCAAAATTTATTGCTGTGGTTATCACACCTGATGATGATTGCTTGTGCTGCAGTCGAAACGTCGTGAGAATTTTATTGTTTTATATTTTTATTATTTTATTGTTTCCCTTCTACGTGACTTTACCGAAAGAACCAAGAATATGAATCCCTGCAGTCACGAAAGCTTTAAATCAAGAATTAACTTTTGTTGGCGATGAAGGGACCAATGTGTAATTTGTGAACGGCGTTCAATCTCGCCCGATTAAACTCCATACAAATGGCCGAGGTGTTGGAGAGAATGTTGAACCCGCGGGGGAAAAAAAAAAACCCTCCAGTACGCACTAAGAGGTCTCGTTACAATGTCCACTCAGGCTAATGAGGCAGATGAAAGCAATTTAAGAGGAAGGAGAAGAAATTACACATTACCTCTCAAATTCTGTCTCTCAGCTTCAACGAATAGGAGTCGCTACGCCACTTTTCGCGGCCCATTCAAAATGGATTATGCAATTGCACAATGCAGCTTAGTGCGTAGGGGGTGTGGGGGTTCTCAAATAATAAAAATCTGATATAATTATCAGGAAATCAACAAGCGTCGCATGAGGCGGCCTGCAAAACAAAACGGATGTTTCATCGTCGGTAAACATCACGCCTGCCACCCCCTGCCGCCGCCGCTGGTACTATGGCGAGAGATTCTATGGCGATATAGCCAGGGATGTATTCGAGTTTTTTGCTCACGTCTATTGTACACTGATAACGGACACACGCTGCAAGAGACAATGGCAGAAAAGCTGCGGGAGTAATCAAAATGCTGAGAACCCAGCCGTACGACATTTGCACGAGGATGATGTTGCGTTGCTGCAGGCTCTAAGGTCGCTTACGCCAGAATTTCACTGTTGGCTGTCGATAACATGTAGGTTGCAAGGGTGACCTTGCTGTCACAAGTGTAATGTGCAATATTCACAGCAAGGGCAAGTTTGTAAACATCTCGGAAAAAGTGTCATCTTTTTCCTGATTTCCTCCACCTGGATGATTCCCTCATTTACAGAAACAGGGTCACGCGTCGGTGACATCACGAGTTAAAAACGGTGGCGCTCGCAAACCTCATAATTCCAATCACCTAAGCGCACTTTTCCCAGCAACGATGCTTCCCACTTGCGTCAGATGAGCGGAGACATCGTAAAGGTTACTTTGTTATTGTGTCGTGCGTTGTGGTTTTTTTTTTGGGTCATCCATTCCTTAGGGCGTGAATCGTCAACCCGTGAAAGAAAGCGACAGCCCCCAGTGGGCAAAAGTGCGGCAAGCACTGTGGGGGCGAATAAGTCTTCGCGATCGTGACCTTTACGTTAAGCGTGAGCCTCATCCGAAAGCCTGAAATTTGCGTGCCCTCGTGACGTCGAATCGACGAAAACCAGCACACTGTCATCGCCACCAGCAATAAACGCACAGATATTCTCTGTATTTATATAATTATATATTAAAACAAAGTACCTTTTGTTAAACGCATTTCAAAGCACAGGTAAAAACACCTACACACTGCAAACAACTACACACCTTCCAGAAAGCAACTCCCCAGTTTAAAACGACAAGATGCTGAAAAGTCTCAGAACACTGGGAAGCAAGTTTTACCCAGCAGTGTTTCAAGACGCAGCACGAGGGGCAGCCCTTTTGCACCCACCCCCCACACACCGTGACACACGGATGCAGATATTGCAGCGGGAGCTGCATGAGGCCCTACTGTGGGCTCCAGTGGCAAAGAGCATCGCCTGGGGTTTTTCTCTTCAGCATAAAAGGGGCGATATCAGCCCTGCAAGAGAGCAAGAGAGAGAGAGAAAAAAACAACTAGCCAGGGTGTTCTTGCAAGTGGGCTTTACTTTGCGGACTTTTAACGATTGTGAACGGGAGGTAATGTGTTAATAGCCGATACGTGTTAAAGTAAGGAACACATAAACCATGTTGAGTACTCGATGAAGGTCAAAGAGAGACTGTCGTGGCTTTTGCTCATCTGGGAAATGGTTCCTCTGGGAACAATTTTAATCCATGAAGCCATGAGCAGCCAAACACGAGACGACAGGACTTAATCGTCAAAAAATTTATTTAATTGCGACCTAAAAGAAAAACCACTCCTGCTATCCGGACTTTAACGTTGCTGCCAGTATACACAGGAGTGCATGCGTTTGCAAAACGTGATTTGCCGACAGATGTGTTCTAACTGCATGCTTCCAAGTGTTCGGAGGCCTTTTATAAAGGTCACGAGGACAAAGAGTATAGCCACTTGGTGGCTTGAAGCGGAGTTTCAGGAGACTGGGTTCCTGGCCAGGGTGTGAGCACACCAGAGGAGGCGAGTGTCTCCATCGCAGTCGACCGAAGACAGGGCATTCAATTATAAACAATCGCCTTCGTCTCTCTCATGGAAGCAATTAGATACACCCCGCCGTTGTTTAAAGTGTCGTTTTAAAATTCGCTGGCTTCGTGGATGTCATGTACAATATAAATAGTGTCCCATACTATCGTGTATGTATCCATCACTTCCACCCCAAAGTGAAATTTGATTGAGTTTTATTTTACGTACCCCGCTCGGGACTAAGTTTGTACTGCTAGCACTTATTTTGTTAATTTTACCAGGCTGTTGAGAATAACAATTAAATTGTTGTCAAGATTCATTCATGCGTCAACCTTGAGTTCCAGTCTCTTGAAATGTAGATTCAAGTCACTGACAACATAATAACACAAAATTGGTCAAAACATATTTTGGCCACATAGCATCACGGAAAATACCTACGATGCCATTTTTTTTTAAGTGGCTTTCTGTCCCCAGGACTTCATGAGCAAGACGGCAACCGGACAATGACTGTGAAAAGAACAAAGCAATTTTTTTTGTTTAAACCAAACCGCCCCCCCCCCCCAAAAAAAAAAAAAACTGACAGCAGGCGTCTCTTGATGGCAAAACGGATCTGTAATTTTTTTTATACCCCCTTGTTCTTACCAAAGAGACAACAGAAACGTGACGGACAGGCTAGGTAACGCGCAGTGCTGCGCAAGTACCGAGGCCGCATTTTGTGCCTTGCCTTACGCACGAGCACGTTATTGCATGCTTTAAATAACTTAAGAAATAAATAATCTCAATGATAATTTGTAAAAAAATATATAAAAATATTTTAGAACGCCTTTATTTTCTCTCATGATCATTGTCTTCTGTTTAATTTTTTTGAACTTTTTTTTTTTACGTTTACCAGTCTTTAGCATTATTACTGCTAAATTCAATATGGCACTCTTGAAAACATGGAGAAATCCCTATACTGAGCCACACATTTATCCAATGAACAACGAACCAACAACCCAGTCGCTGTTTAATCTCTACCCAGTCTCAACTACTGCAGTGGTGGGTGATACCAATGCTTTTGGTACCCACACTATATACAATTTATACTACAGAATATCAATATTTTAACGATACCTTTACGTGATAGGCACATGGGGTTAGGGAATTGTGGATTGGTGTTTATTGTTGTCCGTGAAAGGCTTCAGAAGATTAGGGTGGACAAATGTTGCTATTTCTTTTTTGCTGATATTGAAGTCCCATTGTCAGCCTAAAGACTTGTGTGGAATGCAAGTTATAGATACACGAAGACCCAAAAGTTAGTTTACCGAGACAAAGTGCAACAATTTCTCAATGTTTTGGCAATTTGTTTATAGTTTTTTTAATCGCCCAAGACAACTAATGCATGTGGATGTTAATAATTATTATGTAAATAAATAATAATAATGATGTAATTTCCATATAAACAGGAATACAATGTAAATCCTAATCAGTGTATCAGTAAAACAACCTTTGGGCCACACAGTATGTCCAGACCACGACCTCTTGCACTTGAGCACGTGATCAGTTTAATGAGTTTTCTTCTAAAGGGTTAATTTAGTCCGAATTGTATAACTTTTTGCATTGAACAGGGTTCCGTCGTTTAGATATGATACTCAATATCATCATATCAACCCTGCGGCGTTTATTAAAGAAGCCTGACTGCTGATGAGGCTCGGGAGGCTGAAACTGGTCCATGGTCTGCTTGCAGAATTAACCTCATGCTGCTGGATTTTGGTCTGCAAAGTCAGGAGACTGATGGCCTCAATATATATTTTACTTGCATGTGGAGGCCTACTCCTAATAAAGACCCTGACTAATATATTGAACGAATTTAAACAACGAGCTCTCTGCTAGGATAGCCTAAGGGCAGTCTGTCGTCTTTCCTGTTGTGGCCACAGATTTTGCAGCACACCGCTGTTGATGCCCTGGCTCCACAGCAACTCTTGGACACAACCGTTCATTGTGTGCATCCTAACATTCAGAGGCCTTCAGGGGTTTAAAGTTCATGGTTATGGATTGAACTAAAGGTCAAATGTAAGGTGAGCGATAGGATTTAGTGTAAAGGGGTTCGCATTATTACGTGGAGATGTGGAGGGTTTGAGATCAAAAGTAGCGTTATGTTTATTTTAACATAATCTGTAATGTATAAATTTCGTTGGGTATCGAGAACAATTGCCAAAGATCGATCCACAGATCGATCGATCTTGTAGCAGTATTAGAATATTGATAATTTGAGTTAATAGACACAGCCATAGTATAAATCCTAATTTACAAAAAGCCCTCTGTACCTAGGGCAAAAAAAACAAACACCAGCACTCTCTCCCTCACAGCTAAATATTTTGTATATTCATTTAATTTCTGTAAACGTCTGTCTGCAATTAATGACTATTCCTGCACAAGATCCTGCACGCGTGTCTTTGCACATATATATGTATATTAGCTTCGAAATGTTTGGATAAAAAAGTAATACCTTAATACAGTGCCACAACTTTCTAAAACTACACAAACACTTCAACAAAGACACAACTACCGTATTTATCCGGATTATAAGACGTAAGTTCTGCCCGTGTTTTACTTTCCGGAGCGTTTTATAGTCCGGGAAAATACGGCAATCGTAGATATTGAGTGAAAAAACAAGCGTGAAAATTGTGTCGGCAGTACAAGAACGTCTCCCCAAATGATATTTGCTCTTCTTTATTATGCGATGCCACAGTCCTTACGGCAAATTGAACACAAACAAACAAAAACTATCACCCGAGGAGGTATTTTTTTGCCTTCGTGCCAGAATGCTTATCACATCCATTTACAAAGGAGGTGCAGCCAGCCACCTGTGATTTCGCTACTGCGTGGGGGGGGGGTTCTGCGTTTGTGCCGTGTCGCTCTCCCAACGCGTTTCCGGGCTCCGCCGCGTGCTGTTCGGCACGATGTCCGACGTTTCGCTCCATACGTGTTGAGAGCTTCTTGAGGATACCCCCGACGACGTTCTTGAATATTTTCCCGAATAAGTTTGCAAAGAAGCTCCCAGCGCGGCGGGGCAAAATGTCAAATGTCGCGCTAACAACGGCAGGGCTCTACTTGGGAACGACTCGGCGAGCACCCAGTTTGCGAACCGAGGCAGCACCCATCCTGGTGGCCGTGGCAACGCAGCATGGATCTGAAGGACCAGGGTAAGATTCAAATGTGATCCTATTCTGGCTCTGACGGCTCCGACCCATTTCCTCCTTCGAAAAGGCGATGAAGCCTATTTGTGGAATGATTGATCACATTACACGTAGCCGTTCAGAAATTAAAAAAAGATTTTACCCAAATATTTCAAAGCATATGTGTGTGAACATAGGGACATGTATATAAAGACGACGTCATTCCTCTTGCTGTTTATTCTTCCGTTTTACCCTGTTGCAATTTCCCTGCTAAAAAAGAAGGGAGGCCCCACACTGTGGCTCAACAGACAACATAAATTGTAAACCAAACACAATTTTTTTTCTTCTCTCGGGCAAATCGTTTGCTGAAGGAAATCGAGTACAGCACTGCACACATTTCTGAGGCTCACAAAAGCGTAATTTTTTTTTAGGACTCAACCAAGAACACAAGGAGACAGGGAGGGCATGAGGCACCGGGCGCGCAACCTAAAAACAAACACGCGCCATCCACCTGCAATATTACGGTCGCGAGAGATCTCGCCATCTCGGGATACAAATTTTCGATTTTCTGGGAGATCCCACAATTTCAAGACATCCCGACGATTCGAGAAAATCGCGGAGATTTGAGTCGAGATTCTACGATGTTTGAGATTCCACCACAATTATGGGAAAGTCCTATGACAGAGATAAACATATCTACATCTCACAACTTTGACAGAGATCCAACAGTTACGAAGTGTCCCATAACGTTGATGGTGATATCGTTGCTAATTCCACGAAACAAAGTGAAATGCTGGGATATAAATAAAAATCTCTAATTTTAAGAGTTTACAATATTAATAAATCAGATTATTATTGGTCGGAATCCCACAACAAATTGTGCAATATTAAAGCATCCCGTAAAATTGGATACTACACAATTTCTGAAAATCCCCAAGGGTAAAAAAAAAACATCCCCCGTTTTAATGAAATGTGATTCCATTTATTTTGATAGTCTTATCAAAACAAAATGAACGAAATTAAAATCTATTTTGCACGTAAAAAAACACACACCATCGTTTTAAACAAACAAAAAAATAGATACCCCGTTATTTTAGGGCGATTTAGATTTGTTTAGTTTGATTTAAATAAAATTAGAAAAAAACACGTGGAGAAATCTGCACAATATCAGGGCGAGAAATTTTTGCGCACGATTGTAACTGCGATCCCACAATCTCGGGGTCACACTTGGCGACTTGCACTACGAGGAAGCCCGCGGGTGCCCTAATGGCACTATTGTAAACACACCTGGGGCGTGAGCTCCTAGACGGGATACGAGAATGCACCTCAAAAACCGCACAGCAAACAAAGGACAAGAAAAAACACGCACACACATCACCGCGCGTAAAGGTGGCCAATACGTTACTTAAGCGGAAAAACCGTTAACAATAAACCAAACTAAAAACGAACAAAAAAAAATGTATATTATGCATCTATATATAATTCAACTTTGAGACGGTAACACCTAAAACAAACTTCTCTCAAAAGAAAATGAATACTTTTTTACTTCCTTAAACGCACATCAAAAAAAAAGAACAAGAGCTCTTTAAAAAATAAAAAAACACCAACAAGAAGAGATAGCGAGAGTGCGGCCATGTCAAAAGTGTTATACTCGTTAAGTAGTTAAAGCCCCGTTATTGTTAATGAGCTATGCTGGCAGTTACCAAGCACAGGAAACAAAGAGGAGGAGGAGGAGGGGTAAAGGTGGACGTGGAAACCCTCCGGCCACAAGGGAGATGGAAGTGCGACGGGGAGATTGGGAGGAGCAACGGAGGACAGCCCGGAGGATATAGGGAGAGAGATCCGGTGATGGGAAGACAGCAAGATGAAGAGAGAGAGAGTGTGGAAGAGCGAAAGATTGGAGAGAGGGAAGAGATGCAGAAAGGGAAGACTAAAAGGGGATAAAGATGGTGCGTGGGATGAGTCGAACATGGATCAAGGTAAAAACGAGAGATGCTGAGAGGGAAGGAGGGATGGAGGAGTGAAATCGAGAGTGGGAATTAGCGATCGGCAGGATGGACCAGGTGATGGCGAGACAGAGTGAGGGCGGAGAGGAGTTGGAGGGAGGGAGACGACCCTTCAGTAAGGCTTGCCGTCGCTCTTGTTGCGCTTGAGCTGCACCTTGAGACGCTTCATGCCGATCTGGAAGCCGTTCATGGCCTGGATCGCGGCCTGGGCTGACACCGGGTTATCATAGCTCACGAAACCTGCACGGCCAGGGAAGACAGGTGACAGGGACGAACACGAGTGATCAGCAAATGAGCGAGAGGCAGAGAGAGAAGAAGGCTTTCGAGAGACCCTGCAATTGCTTCCTCGTGCCACTGAGAGTCAAAAATACCTCACTTGAGGGAGCTCTTGTTGACACAAGAGAGCCCATTTTATTTGGCAGTCTCTTCGGGAAACATTTCTTAGTTCTAGATTTGAAGCTTTCGTGACTGCAAGGATTCATACTCTTTGGTTTTTTCGGTAAAATCACGTAGGTAAAATAAAATAAATGAAAACAACTAAATTAAATCACGACGTTTCGGTAGGCAACACAAGCTTCCGTCTTCACTTGATACAGCAATTTTGCTGTGACGATTTCCACCTGAAGACGGAAGCTTGTGTTGCCTCCGAAACGTCGTGATTTAATTTAGTTGTTTTCATTTATTTTATTTTACCTACGTGACTTTACCGAAAAAAAACAAAGAGTATTTGTTAGTTCCTTGTGTTCTTCCGACTTTCACCGACCCATGGCTTGATGTGAACACACAGCCAAGCACAGCATTGGACAAAGCAGGTGACCAAATACAACGGGGTCCTTGGCTCAAACTACTATGGTGTCTCCCATCGCAGCTAAACACGAGCCCCTGCGTCATTTCGTACAATTCTTTCAGCAGTCGGCTTACACTCTAACAACCTCGATGCTCCCATAGCCATTTACACCAAAATTGAATCATGCGCTCACTTAAAAGTCTAAAGAACAAATCCAAAGAACGTCCGCATGATGCCAGACCTTCCCAATATAACGTCTGGCAGTAAATATTTCCATCGGGCACACACCCTCACTGTTTTAAAGCCATGCTGGTTTTCCCTTAAGTGTCATTATTTCCGCGAGCAATACCCTGATACACTCCTTCCATTGAATACACGGTGAGCAAAGTCCTCTACAGCCTTCCCACTCTTATCCATCTTCCTTATAGCAGTCCCCTGCTATGGCTTCAACGACATGATGCAGCTCGATCCTGATATGCAATCCTTCCAGCGTATAGTTTTATTCTTTATATCAACATCTCCGTGAACTTTAACTTCTTTAGCAGGTGTCAGCTGTTACACGGAAGCATTGAGCTCTTTCACTCCCTTTGCCAGCTCTTCAGCATTCTCCGCCCGTTGCAAATGACTCTTCACCAGTGGGCCTGCCATCGCTCAGCGGACTTCTCTGCTTCCCGTCGTTTCTAACCCGCTTGAGAGTCGGCTGCACCAGCTCCGCCAACCCTCCAAGACGTCTTCCTCTCGTGACTGTTCCGTCGCTCATTTTCCTTCTGCTGGATGAAGTCCTTCCCACGCCGCGTCGGTTATGGCGGTTGTTTGACCATACTTCACCCACCGCTGGTCAATGCAGGCTGCCGAAGTGGGTCCCAGGACCGGCTCAAGATATCACTCAGCACCGACGTTAGCCCTGGCTGGGCTCGTAGTGCAGTGCGCTAATCACAGCGCCATCGCTCCACCGCTCCCCGTGGCATTTGATCCCACTTAAGACTTGGTGCCTTCTTGTCCGGTGACATCTCCTGAAAGTAGTTGAGCATGATGGCTGTGCAGTGACAACCGACACAGCAGTTTTCAACAATAGGAGTCTTTATTTCCTTAGGCACGGTCTTCAAGGATTCCCTTCTCTCCATGCGTCCCGAACGCTCTTGCTTCTATCGCTTCCCATTTATACACTGCTCAAGCACCGCTTTCCCTCCAGCCAATCAAATTCCACTTTTCCTAACGGATTCCAACCGTCCTCCCTGTCAATTAGCCTCCGTTTCCCGCTCTTTCCATTTGTATTTCTCCTCAAATCCCTTCAATTCCCTGCCTCTAACCAATCCCCTTTCAGGCCCGTTGAGTACCAATCAGAGGGCTTGTTTTACTTCCTTACTGTCCGTATCATGCAGGCCGTGTCGATGACGTAGGGTGAGTATTTTCGGTTGTGACTGAATCACTACAGTTGTACATCATATGCAAGAGGTACCGAAATTCTATCACAACTGCCCTCCAGAATAATAATCTTCTGCAGCCTAAGTTGGGTACGAAGGCTGCCACTGCTGCAACAACGCCTAAAAAAATAAAAAACCTCGCTTAACCAAACACACGATTCGGCCAATGGCAGACACAATGTGAGAGGACATCTTACGAAGCAAAGGAGCGAATGAGTGAGAATGAGGACGCGCTGAGAGGACGCGGAAAGAGATTTTGTCTCGTGCGAGGGAGCGAAGTGGGGTGCAGTCCCCTCTTGCCGTCCCCCGAAAGTGCTTTTTATCTACGCTCGCCTGGGCTCGACACAACCGATTGAATTTCACGCAATGAGACATGTGCAGTGAACTGCCCCTCCACCACCACCACTCCATGCCATCGGTTTGTTCAGCTTCTTTTTTTTTATCAAGAAACGCACGAATTTGGCAAGAGATGCGCATATGCGTACAACGTCGAGACGTGCAATCGTAAATTGGGTAATTTTCAGGTGATTTTTTTGTTCGCGCTGGGATGTTTCGGTCAACGTCGGTTACATTCTACGTGCTTGTTTTTTTTAGCCAAGGGAAAAAACCAGAGAGCCCAGCGAAGACACATGCACAAGAGAGGGAGAACACACGTACAAATTCCGCGTAGAAAGGGCACCCAAGGTCAGGAATCAAACCGGCGTTTCACGATGCAAGGGACAGGCGCTGCTGCGGCGCCACCCTGCCGCATCGTCACCTTGGCTCGCCCCTCTCCTTACGAACTGGCGTGGTGTCGAGAGCACCGACCGCTTGGGCTCGCGGCTCACCGAAGCACTTGCTGAGGTTGGTCTGCTTGTCGATGAACACCTTGGCCGAAATGACTGCGCCGAACGGCACGAACATCTGCATGAGGTCCTGGTCTCCAAACTCCTGGGGGAGGTGGTAGATGAACAGGTTCGCTCCCTCGGGGCCTGGCGCGACACAGAGACATACACGCGCAGACACACACGGACACACACGGACACACAAGACGCACGAACATGGACGCACGGACGTGGACAGACGCAAACGCACTTCTGGACGGAGACGCACGGACGCACAACCGATGGGCAAGATGGCTTACAACTCAAGTTAACAGACAACTGGATGCGTACACAGAGGCAAAGACACAATTAGGCGCACGGCGACGACGTGAACAGGAAAATGGACACACAAAGGTCGTAACAGATACACGTGAAACACAAACACATGGGCATAAACACATACACGCTATCTGTACAAAGACGCCTGAAGGCAGATGCGCAACAAAGATGTGTGACAAATGAACCACGCAGACGTCCACAGGCTTGCACGACTGCACATAGACGCGTGGATGCAGACACACGGGCGCAGCGACATGCGGAAGTGAACATGTGTGCAGGTGCATGCGCAAACAGACCCAGTGCAGAAGCATACACACACACACAGCCGCACGTGCGTCCAAGTGCGGTAACGGCACAGCGTCTCGTCACATCTGCCAATCCAGCGGGCTTCGGTCGTCCGCTTGACGCGCGCTTGGGGCTGTGCGCAGCCCGCTTCACCGTGACCAACGGCGTATTTGTGACAGCTCCGGAGAAGCCACGCGACGATGCAGCGGGGCGGGACACTGACGTCGCTAATCAGAAGCCAGGGGCCGCGTTTCCAATTAACAAAAAAAAAATCTTGCATCGGTCACCAGTGCGGCGATGATTTGTGACCAGGTCGCGTTTGAAAAAGAGCTTCATAGCAGCTCTGTGGGCCTTACCTGTGAATGTTTTTTTTTTAGTTTAGTTTTTAATGTGGAGGCTTTTAGTTTCACATTAAACTTGGTTTGTGCCGAATATTGGCAAATATCCAGCTCTGAGACTTAAAATTATTGCCATAACGTTCATGTGAAGAACATGTATGTATATTATTTGGGTCTTTCGGTAAAGTGGCATAGATAGAAAAATAAGAAAAAAATCACGACGTTTCGATCGCAACACAAGCAATCGTCTTCAGGTGACAAAATACAGCAGGAGAACTGCTGAGACAGGAGAAATATGACACGCATGTATGTTGAACTTCTTGCAATGTACATAGCCAAGAGTGCGAATCGGAGATGCGGAAGATCACTCTGTAGTAGGGCAAATAGAAGAGTTCTGCCCCCTACAGCGTCGACCGGAGATCAATTCGACGGTTCTCAGAGGGAGCTATGTGATACTCGCTTCCGCGGGTCGCTCTCAAACACAGAGGGTTGTGCACACTGCTCTTGCCGGCGGAGTCGACCGGATACTCGTCTCCTGATGGCGTGATCACAATAAAAATGAGCAACGTGCATTTGACACAAAAAAAGGAAAGAGCCCCTACCCTCCTTCTGGCTGCCCGCCACTCCCTGGCTCTGCACCAGGTTGTGGCTGTAGAGGCCGGGCAAAGCAGAGGCGGCGTACTGCTGAATGCTGGAGTACGCCTGGTTCAGTGCATCCATACCGCCTCCACCGCCACCGCCTCCTCCCCCTCCACCGGCACCGCCCGTGCCATTGGAGAGACCCGAGCCCCCCAGGCCGCCATTGAGCGAGCCCATACCTAAGGGCATTTGATAATCAACAGCATCATCATCATAATCACCACCGCCGCGTTATACGTACGTAGACCTCCCAGACAGTACATCTCGGGGCGCTCTACGGCAGGGGACAACCCCTCTCTCCCCCCCCCCCCCCCGTGGCAGCTGTTCATTTGCGGCACCAGGTGAACACAGCGCCGGCCCTGCAAGTGGGCATTAGTCTGCCGGTAGCGGGGGGGGGGGGGGGGCATTGGTGCTGTTTTGTTTGGATTTCCCCACTTGTGTAATTTTTTTTCAAATGCGGACCGTGACGTCGGCACACGCGGCCAACTATCTCGTGAATAACAAAAACACGGGACGTTAAACGTCCACTGCGAAGCAGTCTGCGCGTATATTCACGTTAAGCAGACCCGGCGGTATTAACCAATGGGTGGCCACTGGGCTCGAACCGCGACCCTTTGCAACTAGCGGCAAACGCGCTGCCGCTGGGCCACGTCCCCTTAACGACGCGCGTGGGGCTTAGCGAAGTACAATGCAAATGGAAAGACAACTGCGTGTTAGTCGCCTCGATTATTAACGGCGTATCGGTTCACGGCAAACAACAAAAAATCTGGTAAGCAACGGCAACTCCTGTAGGAGTGAAACAAATAAAAAAAAAACTCATTTAATTAAACCTCTCAGATCGAAAGATTTTCAATCACGGGGGTTCCAATTCTTCACCCCCCCCGCCCCCCCCCCCGCCCCCCCGCCATGCGCCGCGGTACCTCACTTACATGCAACAGCGCCCCACCATGCACCACTCGTCGTGTTATCTGGGGGTAAACGGGGGGGAGGGGGGAGGGGGTTTCTCACCTTGCGAGTGGAGGTGAAAGGACTCCAGTGCAGCTGTGGGTTAGTATCGAGGATGTGCGTTAGTATTGAACCTTCACGGATGCCCCACCCTCTGCAGCTGTGCGCGCACGTTGTGTACGCACATGTTACAGCCCTGCCGGTCAATCCACTGCTGGACGAGGGCCTCCCCACGCCGTGCGGGTCCGCGGGGGTTAGTTTACCGTAACCCGAGCAACGCTGGACATTGCCGGTTGGGAAAGACGGGCAGCATTGGACGTGGCGGTGTAGAGGTAGAGTAACAGCAGCGGATTTTGCCGCACTGCCCTCTGCTGCCCACCACGCTGCCCCGCAGCAGCCTATAGCAACCCGTTATACAGAGTGGTCGTCCATCCAAGCACTATCCAGGCTCGACCCGACTTAGCTTCTGAGATCGGGCAAGACGAGGCACATTGAGGGCGATTTCATAGGAGGCAGTTGTCGGGGGCACTAACGTCGCGTAAATGAATCGTCGAGGGGAGGTTGGTGTCCCTGATATCACTTGGTCGCTCCTCTGTCTCTACCCGTTGTGGTCCGGGGCCGCGAATGGTGTCCCCAAAAGCCATGCTTTCCCCCTCTAGAAAACATTTAACGATGCCTAAAACTCACATTGGACAGCCTGGAGCACACGGCCTGTGTACGCATTAGAGGGCGCGATGATGCGCCAATCAGATTTTTAAAAACCTTCATATATTGTTAAAGCGTGCGATACAGGCATCCGATTGCGTTCGTGAGCGTCAACGTTTTCAGAAATTGACTACGATGAGAAAGAGAAGAAAGGAAAAAAAAAACAATCGGCTCTCCGATGGAATCGCGACCCCCGAATTGCGACAGCCAAAACCGACTCGTCACAGCCCCGGTGCACGTGGCAAGACGAGCCACGTGCGTGTCTCCCTCACGCGAGGGCCATTATCACAACGCTCTCTTGATTGCAACGCACGCACGCACGTACGTACGTACTCTGGACTCCTTTCGCGCCGTACATAGCCAAGCGTGCTAATCGGAGGTGCGCAAAAAATTTCCGATTGCCGTATATACGTACGGCCTTGGCCAGAGAGCGAAATCGTCGACGGCGTGGGGCGCGTTGTGCGCGGGGGGGGGGGGGGGGGGGGGGGGTTGATATCGACGGCGCAGAGGCTGCCAGGCAAAAGCAACCGTCCCAACACCAGTGGCTCCATCAGCGGCGCCACGATGCACACGACGCTGTGCGTCGTCAATTTGTGTACGTGAACCATCGCCTGGGCCTCCTCTTTGCGTCGACTCGACCTAAAATGATTGCCCGGCGGAGCGTGGCCCATTGTCGCCAGCACCACCAGGGAGACAGGGGAGCACGCAGTTTGCGGACTGAAATGAGTCGATCGCTCCCGGCACTTGCCGCCACAGCTGAAGAGGCCAAATTTGCGGGAGGGGACACGGGGTGATCTCTGTGCGCTAATGGACGCGCCGGCAAATGCTGTGGCCCTGTGGCTGCAGCGGCAAGGAACAAAATGCGTATTGTGTGCAGGGGGCTTCATTTCTCACTCGGTATTTTACGGGTCACCGGTAAACCGGGTGAAGTAGGCACGTGACGGGAGAGATATAGCTGTAGCGAGAGAGGGATGTGATGGATGTGGCGTGACTGGCGTGGAAATATTTTTAAGTGTCGGTGACCCGGATAGATCCCGGATCGTAAGCACTCATTACGGTTTCACGAGCCCAGATCGAGTCTTTCACTTCCCCCGGGTAGCACCTGAGGTGGTATGACTTGTGATTCCAAGTTCGCTCTTTATTAGGATTGTAAATCAATTGGTACGACTAAAGTTTTGCAACCTTATGCGGTGCGGATTTCTGCGCCAGCCCATGGATGACGAATGTGAAACAGGGGGCTGCTGTCTCATCACATCAGTGGCGGTTGTCAACGGCGTCTGGGAGGGAAGGGGCTTTGTCATGAGTGGCATCGACTGTGAGGGCCTGGCCTGGTTCCGTCCTCTGCCTAAAATCGCCCCCCCCGCCCCCCCCCCCCGCCCGATTTACCTGCCAGAGCGCCCATGGTGCTGAGCGCCGAGTTGCCCCCAAGGCCCTGCAGCCCGGCCAGCGAGCCCATGGAGCCGACACCGGAGCTGGAGGAGCTGGAGGAGCTGCCACCTGGAGCGCGTGACCCGTGACCCCCCCCCACACACCCCCATCGTCGGAACAGCCGTGCACACGCACCGACACACGCACCGACACACACACACACACACGCACCGACAAACACACACACGCACCGACACACACGCACCGACACACACACGCACACACACACACCTCCGATTAGCGCGGTTGGCTACGCACGGTGCGAAAGAAGTTCAACGTACATACACACATGCCACCGTGCATGTCTCCGCGTGTACGACCAATTGCGCGTATCCATGTGCTCCTAAATGGGTGCGTCCTCCTCATGAGTGTGCCCACTATGTACATGGGGAGCGGCGGTGCAGTGGTTGGCGCACTGTGCTACGACCACGGCCATTCAACGCACGTACATGCATATGTACAGAGCGCACCCTCTGATGAAACTTGGTCGACCAGGTTGATTGTTGGTTCGGCACGATGATGAAAAAATAAGAATAGGCTTTAACCCTTTCTGACAATAACGCGGGTTGTTGAGGTGTTCAAACATCGAGTCTGCATCAACAACACGTACTTGTGGCAAAACATGCAAAACAAACGCACTCCGATAATGATATTGAATTGTCTTTGAAACTGATTCAGCACTCGCAGATGCACTCCACTGACTTGCGGTTAGTCACCTCCTTATCACACTTCTTTTGCTGCTACTACTCCAGTGACTGTTCCCATGTGCTTCACTCACTCCTTGCTCCACCAATGTTGTGAACTCGGTCTACCAGACTAACTGTTTCGTCTCATTCTTCACACTGTGTTCACCCACTCAACACCCTGCAGGTCACAACAACAACAACAAGGCACTCACTCACCCACCCACTCACCCACCCATCCACCACCACACTGCTTCTGCTTCAACCTTCGCACTGCTCACCACTGGAATTCCCTCGTATCGTCTCCTTACAATAACCTTGCTCAGTTCAAACAACGTGTTTACCTACAGCACCTTCAATCGTGCCGTTTGTTGCTGGATGCTTGGCATTTCGGGATTTTGGATCCTTGCTCAGTAACCGTAAAAGTGCTGCAAGCAATCATCTGTGTGCGGTATATATACACACACACACACACCCCCACCATACAAAGACAAAGATCCCCCGTGTAGCCTTAACATACTGTTGGGGCAAGTGCTGTTGGCAAGCACCTATGAAGGCCATTACATACTACTACACACACACACACAAACCAATGGAAACGAACTACATTAAATGTTGTAACAACTTAACCAAGGCAAGGTGTTCACAGTGCCCGTTTGGCGAGGGACCCGTTAACGCCAGGTATATGGCGATCACAGGAGCCGGCAGTGGCGACGCTGCGTGGCAGGGCACACCGCACCGAGCGCTCGTTTTAATCTAGGCCGATGGGGAACAGCCAGCCAGGCCAGTTTCACACATCACTCGCCCCCAGTGTTGCGCTTGAGCAGAAATAATCCCAGGTCAAGGAGCTCATCTCGGGGACGAATGAGATGTCTATGCCATTGCTCCGCACACAAAAGTCACAAACGCGGGGTGTGAGTGTGCATGGGCCAAAAAAGTAATGAAAAATAAAAAGTTCGGACGTACAGGCTTGCTGGGGCGATTGCCGTATAAAGGCCACCACACAGCACAACGGTGGGACGGTGCTGACCAGCGCTACCTTAAGCCGTTGTTTGTCCCCACCACTGTGAATTTTGACACTTCATCAGCGACTCATTTCAAACCGAGTCGGTTCCAATTGGGGGAAGGTATTGCATGCGGCAATGTTCGTAAACCCTGGTCTCTGTCAATACAGCGCAGTGCATGAACTGCCGTGTCACCTCCCATCAAGCTTGCACACACACACACAAACACACACACACACGTAAAAAAGTCAGTTTCCCCGTATAGCCTGTAACAGGCTGTTGGGGCAAGTGCTGTTAGCGAGCACCTATGAAGGCCGGCACAGCACACGAGGAGGTGGGTGGCCAGCACTGTGCCCGAGCGCCTTTGTCTCCCTCGTGGCGATGTTTACACATCGCACCAGGTACTCATTTGAGGCCGAGTCGACCAAGGGGATGCCCAGGACCGGTTCAGATAATCGTCACCGGCATCGGCCGTGAGCGGGACAGGAGCCGGGTTCGTAGCGCAGCGTAGCGCTACCCACTACACTACCGCTCCCATATGCACACAGGCACGCGGAAGGTCAAAGACACCCCCACTTCCTTGGCGCATACACACAAAAGGACAGACGCATTACCAACGAAACAAAAAAAAGCAGGGCACACGCGGGGGGGGGGGGGGGGGTTGGTTGGCCGGGGGGGTGGTACACTGTTGAAAATATTCACTCACAATCAAAGGACTCGCTCACGCAGAATTTATGCATCCATAGCCATCGAGCCGAGCGCCGGGGCTTCTGAGCTGTGCGCACCACCGCCGCCAGCGCGTCGTGCCAATCCCTACTGCACTGTGCCAGTCTCCCGGTGTCGCATCCATCTCACTGCGGTCCCCGCAGTGTCACTGCTGCCTCAGTGTTCCCGGAGCAAACCACCGCTGTCGGACTCGTCTCACCGGGACCCACTGGTGCTGAGTGGGGGGCAGATCTGGGCCCAATTACAATTATATTTAGGTTCAGCATTGCGAGCCGAAATTATGATTGCCGTACATGTGCGGTACATAGATATTACACTTGCGTACAGAGATATGAGTCCATAATTCAGGGTGCTTCAAACAAATTTGAACACTTAAATGGGGCGATCGTTTTTAATGGAAAAAGAACGCATAATACCCTGTAACTTATTCTTGGTTCTTTCGGTAAAGTCACGTAGAAGGGAAACTTTACCGAAAGAACCAAGAATATGAATCCCTGCAGTCACGAAAGCTTTAAATCAAAATTTTACACTGCAACTTGATAACAAAGGTATGTTAATAGCTTAAAGAAATCAAAGAGTCTCCACTTGTTCGCCATCATTGTCAACACGTTGCCTGGAATCTTCTCCAGGTGGTCTCCAGAGCCCAGAGGCTTCATTTCTCTTGGTATTGTTGCAAATGCTCAGACGTGTCAAATCTTTTTTTTAAGCATCCGGTATGCTGAGTGCGTTTCTTACCGGCACCTCCGAGAGCGCCGAGGCCACCCGTGGACGAGCCGAGCCCGCCGCCCGAGGACCCCGAGCCGGGAGACTGTGACGCAGCTGCTGCTGCCAAAGCCAAGAGGTTCTGCAGCTGAATGGCGTTGAGACCTTAGTGCAGAGACAAAGATGCCCCCGTATGGCCTGAGCAGACTGTTGGGGCTGTCGCTGTTGGAGAGCACCTATGAAGGCTGGCACGGCAACACGAGGGGGCGGGTGGCCGGCACCACGCTCGACCGCCTTTGTCTCCCAAGTGCTGATGTTTACACACCGCACCAGGTACTTGTTTTGAGGCTGAGTCGACCTAGGGAAGACCCAGGACGAATACAGATAATCGTCACCGTTGTTGGTCGTGAGCGGGAATCGAACTCTGGTCATCGGGTTCGTAGCGCAGCGCGCTAACCGTTACACTACCGCTCCCCACAAGACTTTAGTGCGCACACAAACACACGGATCGCTCATGTAATGGTTGAGAATGTTGCGGCAAGTTTTAGTATGGCACTCAATAGGGATGAAGTATAAGCCAGAACCATGCTATAATTTTAGCTGGGTCTGTCTGGGTCAGCGACCCGGAAAATATTTCTGCAACCGGCACACCACAAATCAGCATACCTCTCGCTCGGGCTGCGGTTCCGAGATACACACACACATATTCACACGTAGAGATGCGCGCACAGATGCCGATACACAAACACACAGCGACCCGGAAAATATTCAGTGAGAAACATGGGCAGAGTCGTGCATGCCTGACTGGCTTTACTGGCTATGATGATGTTTACTGGGTATTCAATTTCGGCCGAGGTGACGTATTCGAGGCTGAGATCGGGTTCAGATACCCATTTGCCAGTGGTGTTGTGCAAGGCCATGTATGATTTCAAGGATCACAAGACGGGATCGCGTCAGAAATGAAGACATGAGGGAGAAGGGCGAGAGAGCTGTATTTTCTCACGCAATCTAACGGGACGTTGACTCCTCAGATGGCGACGGTGTGAGAAGCGAGGGACACCACCGGGAGAATAAAGATCACGAACGAGGGGGCACTCGGGTGGAGACAGAGAGGCGGACAAAGACAACGTGAGGTTCGAAACTGTGAACCAGAATGTGAAGGCATGTGGAATGGACGTGGAAATGGCCCAGGACAGGAGTGAGTAGACAGAGAAAGGAAGACCCCCCCCCCCCAAGAGTGGGGATGGATGCCAGGTGAAAAAAAAACGAAGTTAGCTCTACACCCTAAACGTCAACATGCATAATGGGCGGGGGGGGGGGGGGCGATGGATTGGTCGTTCGGTTGTTGGTGTGACGCGCTTTGGATCTAGCCGACCGGTGACAGAATCCCGGCCATGGGCTAACATCGGTGGCGAGTGATATCTGAACCGATCCTGGGCCCTCCGCCTTCGCCAACCTGCACTGGCCAGAGCAGTGAGGTCAAACAGACCCTCATCAACAACACACGGCATTGTGCAGGGAATCTCATTGACAATTTTCTTGTATTTAAAAAAAAAACTAAAATATTACCACCGTCGAACCTCGCTTATCAACCGATACACTCAACTGCGATGCGAGACGTCCCTCCAAACGACTCTGCCACCATACCAATATCAACGCGGCCTTCGGACCTGATAACAGCTGGCTCGGTGCTTCTGACAACCGTTGGCATTAGTAATAGATCCCTGCAAGCCGCGAACGCTGCGTCAGTGCTCCAACAGCTTAAGCCTGCGAATGCGCCCATGCTCTTGCATCAATGTATGTATTGTTTACGGCGGCTGGGCAGAGCTTAGCGGTTCGTGCGCTTGATACAGAGCCAGTTTTGCAGAGTCAAACATTTTCATTCCTGATCGCAGCCGCAGGGTTATTTTGGCAGGAGCCGGTATCGTCCCAGCGTGTCGTCCGCTGTATCAGACGGCGTGAAAACAGACCTTCACGTGCTTCAATCCTAGACCAAGTCCCGACTGCAGAAATGAACCTAAATTAGCAACCGCAGTCATCTCGACTTCAGAGGTTGCGATGCAAGCGCATGATCTGCCAAGTTTAATACCGTCTGTTAGTCCCTTTGCTGATCATACGCAGGCCTCCGCGAGCCGTCGCCATCTGACACAGTCACGTGATCTAGAAAACCCGTCGACAAGCTGCACATGCGCTGGTCCCATCACTCCACCTCCGAGGCGGGCAACGAGTCAGATGCCGTCCCTCCTTTGGCTCCCACTCCGTCGACAGTCTTAACCACCAGGCAATCGTCACAGCGACGTGTGTCCCGTCCCAAGCTCACTCACGTTTCTTCGCGGTCGAGGCGATGTCTCTCACTTGGGGCATGTTCTATAATCCACGCGTTATTCCGAGTATGAACGTCTCCGCGTTTCTTTGAATGCTTTTCGGATTTTGTTCTCTGTTTTTTTCTGTACAGTACATGTATAGTAGAACTCCTGCTAGCGCGTCGCGCCTATGAAGGCCGTCACGGCACACGAGGGGGTGGCCGGTCAGCGCCACGCCCGGCCGTCGTTGTACTCAATTGAGGTTGAGTCGACTTACGGAAGGCCTTGAACTCGTTCAGATGATCGTCACTGATGTTGACCGTTAGAAGGAATCGAACCCGGATCGCTGGGTTCGTAACGCAGTGCGGTAACCGCCTGCGCCACCACTCCCCACGACATTTGAGTCTGACACGCCAACACACGTACGTTTGTGGATATGTCAATTACTAAATATCCAAGTGGCTTTTGTGTAAGTTCACACGAGGGCCGAAGCAGGCACTCCGCGGGCTGCAGAAATAGAACGTTGAAATCGTAGACGCCGCCGCAGACCCTGAGGCTCGGGCAAGCTGCTACTGGGCATTTGCTAAGTTTCTGCCCTCGTGCACCAACAGCAGAAGTGAGAGAGACAAAAAAATGGGTCAACGAGCAGTGACAGGGAGTAGATTAAACGGGCAGTGCTGAGTTTCGTACAGTGGAGCAGGTTAGGCACGATTGGAAGCACAGTTCCTGCATCAGCCGGTCAAACGTGCTATAAAAAAAAACCTGCATCTGTGGCATAACCATGCTGCTAATGAGCCTCTGCCATGTCACGTGGCCTCGCAGTGCACCTATCCTGACATCGCTTAAGTATGTATGCATGCTGAACTTATTTCGCACCGTACGTAACCAACCGTGCTAATTGTGTGTGTGTGTGATTCCCCGCTCACCGGCCATCTGCTGGAGACTCCCGTAGGCTCCCAGATTTCCTGTAGCAGCTGCCTGCAGAAGCTGCAGGTAAAGCTGAGTGCGCACAGACAGGGAAGATAGCGGGCGAGACAGCGAAGGGATAAGATGTAGTGACTGGATGCTGGTATTCAGGATTCTGGGAGTGTGTGTGTGTGTGTATGTTGAACTTCCTTTGCACCGTACATAGCCAACCGTGTATATCGGACAACTAAGCACAAAAAGCAGTTCTAAAGAAATTAGTTTTCAAGCTAGATTTAAAATTGCATAGCTCCAGTGGCTTCCCAATATTGGAAGGAAGAGCGTTCCAGACGGCCACAGAAGCGCATCTGAAACCGCGCGATGCGGTGACCGTCTTTGTTCGATGTGTGTGTGTAGTGGTTTCATTTCTGAAACATAGAGACAGACAGAGGTACTCTCTCACAGCATGTACGACCCAGAGCTGTTAAAATAAAACAGACCGGGCATATTACAGGTGTGTTCATTTTACGCAAAAAAACACTACAACTGAAAAATTACACTTGGTTTGCTGCATATGAAGAATCAATGAAAATTTTAGCTGGGTTATAAATAATAACATCCATGAGAGCCTACGAGCTTCAGGGCAGCGATTGACATCAAACGTGTGTGTCCGTAAGTGAACTCAGATTAAAATACTCAATCGGGAAAGGACGTGGCAACGTCGCTGCACAAACACTGCGCGAGACGACATCAGACTGCGTGCAACGTAGCTGCTGTCATCGTGTTCAGCCTTAGCGCTGCAAGAATGGCGAGAACGCCAAAAACATTATCATTGTTACCCAGGCTCAAACCCGGCGTGTTGGCTTCTGAGACGGAAGGATATGGGCAGCAATTACGGTGGGATTTGGCCACAGTCGATTCAAGCGGAGCTCGTCTGACCTCGTCTCCGTCCCGGCGGATTGAAAAATCGCGATGTGGCATTTGGAAGCTCTGATCTCATCTGGCAATGTGAAGCTGTGATTTAAGATTTAATTTTTTTTAATTACAATCTTCCTTGTACATAAACATAGGAAAGTTGGGATGAGGAGCATTGTCGTTGTTTTGGGCATGGAAGAAGCTTCAGCGTGTATTTGTTTATTTATTTATGAGTAAATGTCAAGTCTAAGACTCAATAGAAAACGGCAAGTTGTCCTGTGATGCGAGTCCGTGAAGCGGGAATCCTACACACTCAACCAAATTCGTACAATAAATTAAAATGTATAAATAAGAGGTGACGTTTTGGGCAAATGGCCATTCTTCACAGCACACAGAGAGGCCACTCTGAGCCACCCACCTCCCTTGCCCCCTCCGCGTGCTGCGAAGGAGCATTGTCCCCAAAAAATGTCGCCTAGTGAATACTTTGTCTTTTTTGTAAGGCAGCATTAAATTGACGAATGCGTCGAGTTCTCTGTTCTTCGTCCGTGTGCGCCGCCGCCGCCGCGAGTATCGCCGAATGCATTTGTGTACGCAAATCGGGGTTCGTGGAAACGTTCACCGAAGAGCTCGTGGCAGAGTGTGGCTGTAGAATGGTCCCCGGGGGGGGTTGGGGGGCTATAGGGGTCATGGATTATAGGGTGACAAACAAGACGAGTTTCACTTGGCGCGTTTTAATTTACTTCAAAAGGTCTTAAATCATCAATTGTTTTCAAGTTTAGTGCTACGGCGTTCCAGTATTTCGACAGAGCAGCTGCTGAACCATCATTCTGCCAGTATCACTCTTCAAAGTTGGCACTGCATATAATGACGCACATCTGCACGCGTGTGTCCGTGCACTCCTGCGCGTGCGTGCGTGCGTGCGCACCGAGTGTCCCTGCATGCAAAGCGGCACATCGGTGCACGTACGGACGCCGCGCGTCTGCGTGCCTCGCTCCCTGCACGCAACTTCTTTCTCTTGAGGCCTCTGCCCAATAGTATAGGTCCTCGGCTCAACTCCCTAGATCCTGAACTGATGCCGAGCTCCTCATTTCCAACTTCGTTCCTTTCGAGGAACGTCCGTCCCTCTAGCTTTCACAACTGAGAATGTGCCCCGATCCATGTCCTCCGCATTTTGCCTTTATTTGTTGTAATAGCAAACAAAGTGGATTGAGATACAGTCTCAATGCGACCGCATGTCGACACGCCACGCGCCAGGCTGGGGCGCATTTATTTCAACAAAAGAGGGGCGGCTGCTCACAGGCGGAGGAACAGGGGAGGGCCCTGAGCCTGGAATTGAACAGGCGGCAGGGAGTCGACAAAACAGGGACGGGCTGGCCGCGCGCCCACTCACCGCCAGGTACTGCGGTGCCAGCGCTCCCATGCCGGCCATGCCACCCCAGGCGTTGAGTTGCTGCATCTGCTGCGAGATCTGCTGCTGCAGCCTCTTGTGCTCCTTGTCCTTCTGCGTGTCGGCGAACTTGACGACGAGCGGCGCCGAGCAGCCCTGCGTGGAAGTGGAGGGCCATTACGACGAGGCCGGCGGCAAATGACCAGGCAATGACGTCATTTGCGGGGGGGGGGAGGGGGGGTGTCGGGGGGAACGTCTCGCGTTGCAGTCGGGCATTTCGGTTGATAAGCGAGATGTGATTATGACAATCATAAATTATTCAATTTATAAATTAATAAAATACGAGAAAATGTACGTGATTCCCAGCACAATAATAATTTGAATCAAACAATTAATTATTCTTAATATTTTATTATTTACAGGCATTTTGTTGATCCGCCGCTGGATGGATGCCTCACCCATGCCGTGTGTTGGTGGTTGGGGTCTGTTTGACCTCACTGCTCTGGTCAGTGAAGGTTGGCGAAGGCGGACGGGCCCAGGATCGGTTCAGATATCGCTCGTCACCGATGTTAGCCTGTGGCCGGGAATCCGTCACGACTAGATTGGCATTCGAAATGCATTTCTACAAAAGGATGCTGCATCCTCGACTGGACTCGGAGAGTGACCAACGCAGGAGTAAGACAACGGTTGCACACAGAAGAAGACCTGATGATGCTGGCCTGGACCGCAGCGGGACACTGGAACGGTGTAGATGAGGTGTGCCTGTAAGGTGCTTTGAAATGCCGAGGCAAGCATCCCTAGAAACGCCAATGCTCCACCTCACCCAATAAGCACGGGCACTATTTAATTAACACGCGACCACCAATGGTGGTTTTCAGTATGCGTATGTACGAAAGGTTGAACTTCTGTCGCACCTTACGTAGCCAAGCATGCTAATCGGAGGTGCGGGAAGCTAAGCAGGAATTTTGGGCCCGTTATACTGCTTGGAAGGGTGGATATACAGTACGTGGTGGGCCGGTGCAGCAAGAGGCATTATTGTACGAGACCATTATTCTCCCACATCTATGCTCCCCACCTTCATCAATCCATAATCGCCAGCATGGCTAAGCGCTGTCAAATAACCCCCACGGTTGTACGACAACAGAGGTTTCACTCAACTTCAAAGAGACAACTACGGCCTTGAAAGTGCCGAGACGTGGCAAGACGTTGAGGGGATGTGGGGAGACTTTGGACGTGCACGGAGGTCCGGTCACTTTTGCAGGAATTGAGGACGCCGAGAGAACTCATGGTGTCGTTTCAGATTTGGAGAACAAACGTGTTTAATAATCATAAAATGTATAATGCGCCAGATTTTCCAGACAAGTCAACAACTCAGAGGCGTGTAGCCAAGGCAGGGCTGCTCGAAAGCCTGACCCAACAGATAGGCCTTTAGATGTTTCTTGAAACTCAGAGTGCATTGATGTTGCCGATGTGCAAAGGGATAAGAGAGTTCCACACCGAGGGGCGACAGCAGAGAACGGACGTGAGGCTGTGACAGTTCGAGACCTTGGTGTCCGAAGCAGATTTTGAGTGACGCTGCGTAGGGTTCTACCGTGAGCCTTCAGTGCAAGGCGAGAGTAACGAGGCAAGGTATGGTGGGGGACCGGTGGTGAAGGCGCGACGACAAAGGCAGGCGATTTTATACTTTTTTTAGCATCGGGAGGTCTTGTGTGCGGTGGCTACGTGTGGAGCGGTCGGGGAGTTTGATTGGGGAAGGATTTGAGGAAGTTTGGCGAGGGCTTAGAGGGTGAAGTAAACAGATTGTCGGGGCGTGATGAGGTCTAGGAATCTGTCAGGGAGGGTTTGTTGACGAGTGCTCTTTGCGGGTTTGGGGAGTGCCGGCGAGGTCACGGTGGTTGATAGCAGGAAATCGGCTGTAGAGCCGTCGCTTTACTCACCTCCATGGTCTGGGATTGGTGCATCGCCTTGATGGCATTCAACGCCATGGCTCTCGTGGAAAACGTTACAAAAGCACAACCTGGACGGACACGAAACAAATAACGACAACAACAGCAGCAATGACAATTTGACAATTACAATGTGGTGGCGTCCTAACTACACCCGCGCCTCAAGACGCTGGACAGATGCAGCGGAACACGTTTTGAGCGCAAACGTCGGCGCGAAAACAACCGCCAGGGACAATGCGAAGACGGAGACCGCCACCGTCGCCGACTTACACACTGCGCTCTTATTTTACAAGAACATGAACCACATCGTCACGATCCGGTTACGTGAAGGTGGTATTTTAGTGGATCGCGCAGAGACTGAGCCGCTGCGTGTGAGGAACCCACGTGCGAGGGCGCGTGACTTTACAAACGATCTCCACGGCTGTCAACCGGAAACCTCGACGCTTGAGAGGCGCCGGTCCGAGGGGGGGAAAGTTCAAGGACGTCTCGAAACTCTCGCTGTCTCTATAAACCCATCACCTGATCTCTAAATCCCTCACCAACAGGTTCCCTCGCCCGGCACGGCTCTATCAAAATTACCTCCGGCCCTTCTCCGGACCGTGTGCCTTGGCGAGGAAGGAGATTGGCAGAGAGGCAAAAACACGAATCTACGCACTGCCCCCCTCCCGGCGTCGTGCGGCATAACCTGCCGCCAACACTCCGCTTTCCCGGAGTCCGGTGCAAAAAAATAATCGCTGCCCTCCGCCGAAGCGAAGAAGCCGACTCTGCGGTGTCACCTGACACGAGCGAGCTGCTACCTCTCCTGACGCCGTCCTCGCTCAGAGGAGCGCTCGCCTGAGTCCAGATACCCCCCCACGCCCCCCCCTCCCCACGCCCCCTGCTTAAACCAATCCAGCCTCTCGTGGCCTATTCTGGCAATGCGATGGGCTGCCTGACAAAACATTTTGCCTCTGTGCCTCAGCTGCGCAAGCAGCACGCCTCCCACACGAGCAACCCCGGTGCCTTGGGGAGGGGAAGTCACTATTCTTTGGGTCTTTCGGTAAAGTCACGTAGATAAGTTCAAAGAAAATAACAAAAAATAACAAAAAAAAACTACGACGTTTCGATCGCAACACAAGCCTTCGTCAGCGGTCGTCATCAGGAGAGATCAGGAGAAATGACGACCGCTTGTGTTGCGATCGAAACGTCGTAGTTTCTTGTAATTTTTTTGGTTATTTTCTTTGAACCTATCTACGTGACTTTACCGAAAGACCCAAAGAATACAAATTCCTGCAGTCACTAAAGCTTTAAGTCAAGGGGAAGTCACCGTTTACCGATGCGACCGCAGTGGCGTTGTTGAAGCGCGCCGACCCTTCCAGTGCGCCCAGAAACGTCCGGAGCTCCTCGCCGAATTACTTCTGAGCTCGAGGAAGTTTACACTTGGCCACAAAAATCTGCACGGAAGCATTGACCCTGATCTGTCAATCAAAGTAAATGATCCCCCCCCCACTCACTCACCCACCTAGCACCACTGGCTGACGTTGCTCTCTGTTCCACGGTTGTAATAACATTTTAGATTGCCCCACCGGCACCAAAAGTCCCTCTTTGTCTGCACTCGAGAGAATCGATGCCCTCAGGGGGGATCTCCCCCCATTTTATTGTGTCAACTGCTGCAATAAACACCGCTGAAGCGCGCTGACGAAACACACTTGGGATTTGTAGAGCGTCGAAATGTAACCGTTGCCTCAAGAGACTCAGCGTACGCAACGGTGGCAACTGGGCACCCTGGTGAAAGGAGGTCATGTCTACTTTTTTAGTTTTCTCAAGGGAAACGGGCGGGCGGTCACAGGCAGCGGAAAAATAGGAATCTCCTGAGCCTGGACTTGAACAGGGGCAGAGAGCTGTACTATGGAAGTAAAGTGAAAGGGGAAGGCCCTTGGCCTGGAGCTGAACAGGGTGCAGGAGTCGGCTGGGAGAAAGGGGAGTCTCAGAGCCCCAGGAGCAGTGGAGGAGAACGAGTGACCTCCCACTCAGCCAACATCACTTGCCGTTGATAATATTGGTGGCCGAGAATCGAATTGAGCTCGCCGGGAGCTGTAGCTCAGTGCGCCAACCACCACTCTATAGGTACGGTGGTACACACACACGCGTGCAGACTAGAATGTCTGAAAAAAGTAATCTTTTGTGTTAATAGATTTCCATCCCACGTCTATTTCTATGCCGCTCTTCAGCAGTATGGAGTTCTCCCCCCGTCCCTTCTCACCTCGATGAGACGAACTGTATCCCAATTTCTTTCAATAAGATGGCAATGGCTTGGAGAGGTATTCATCCGGCAGTGGATTGATCATGTATGATGATGATTTTTAGACAATAAATTGGTGCTATAAATTATCATGAATAATAAAGCCATGTGTTCTCAGTCACTTAAAATAGCTTGGAAAGACCTACATCCAGCAGTGGATTGAACATGGCCAAAGATGATGATGATGATGACTTTTGTCATAAACGAGTGCTCTGCTTGATCAGGAATAATGTGATTCTGTGTTTAACACCGTCACTTACAATCAGTTGTTTACCGTACGAAGTGTATGTAAATGAACTTGACGAAGTTTCTAAAAAAAATGTAATCAAATTGTCGGAAGTTGGCAGTAATTACCGGAAATTTATCATTCCAGGTGTGTGCGCGCGATATGTCTTAATTAGCGCATAATCTGGATTCAACGCATCACACAAACCGCATTTGCCTTCATGCACCAGATGTTACTAGGCAATACAATTGATGAAATATGATGCAACCCCCCCCCCCCCACATCAAAATAACTTTTAAACCAAGATGTAATTAAAAAAACGAAATTTAAATAAAACATTAATTAACCCTTCTGAGCCATATTGACACATTTAGGCAAAACTTCCACCATGCGATGCTAAACAACGCTACAAAGCAATAATAACGCAGCAAAAAAATATGTAAATTGTGTAATTAAATTCCAATTTCGAGTCATATTTTTAACCACTAATGAACTGTGAATGTAAGCACTTTCAAATATCATTTGCCCGCAACTGTAGAAGTGAACAAGACTGTAGTTTTTTTTTAACAAAAGCAATCTGATGTAACCCTCAGGCACGATTGCGTTTTAAAGCTAAACGAACATCGACGATTATCTCCAATGTCGGCAACAGGTTCTGGAATTTAAATTTAAGATATATTGGCCAGGTGTAGAAAAGGCCCGTACTGTGTTTCGCAAATTCATAGTGACAAACCCTCGAATGTTTCTTGTTTCTCCCAGGGTCCTTGGGCCTCCTTTTACCAACCCGCATTGTGGTGAAGTATGGTCAAGGAACCCAAACCCTTGCCCTCCACCATCCTAACGGACCGAGCGTGGGGAGGCCTTCATCCAGTAGTGCCTTGACAAAGCCCTTTAAACTGCGTTCTATGCTATCCTCCTCACTACGAAATAAATAAATGAATACAAATAAAGCATTTTGGGTAATAAAGCATTTTGGGTAATGCAGCATTGGCAGTGGCGCACAAGCACAAATAACAATAGCAACAAAATCAGCGCATCCGTTGATAACGCTGCCTTAAAAGAAAAATATAATAGGCGATGTTTTGGGGCAATGGCCTTTTTTCATAGAACATGAAATACTCTCGCGGTCTTTATGTACGATGAAGAACGCCCATTTCCTGAAACGGTGTCTATTATAGATATTTTTTATATGCGTAATGTTTTTTTAAAAATATATTTTTTACCTTTCAAAGGCTGTGTTATTGATATGTGTTTAAAAATAAATATTCTCAAACGATTTCTGAACCAAAAGGCCTTAACTTCAATGAAATACAAACAAATCACGATTAACAATGCCTCGCTGGTTCTCCGGGAAAATAAAAAAAAATCGATTCACGCAAACAAAAACTCTTGAGAAAAGTAAACTTCTGAGCTGGCCGGGCGGCTATGAGGTCAGACAGAGCACTCAGTCGGCAGCACGCAAATTCCCCGTGTGTGAATGTGGGTAGCTCCCCCCTTTAATTAGCCTCAGTACACAAGTCAGTACGCTCTCAGCTCAGTCACCAAGATGGAACGTACTCATGATGGAAGCTCAAGAAACTGCTCCTGATGCGGTTGCTGTCTGGCTTGGCCACCTGAATGTGAAATTGTCGTTGTTGTTCTCCATCCACATCGGCCGTACGAAAGAAGAAGAATTGTCCGGTAACACCCCGAATTACATCTCCTTTCACGTCGTTTCCCAAAGACGTCGATACTTTATTAACACTGCGACCCTATTTGCGTCGCATCAGCCCGCACGCTCACGTCGCTGACGGCATCATCACCCGTCGTTTCTCGTTATCCGTCGCCTCTCAGCCTTCGCCTCCGCCACCTGCCCTGTAAATCGCTTGGATTGACGTCGTTTCGATATTCGTCGTCGCACCTTTCAGGAGCGCATCCCCCCGACGTAAACCGGGATATCGCTGTACTACATTTGGTTTGTGGCTACATTCTATACCTGAGAATTAATTATAAGGGGTTGACTGTCACGCAACAAACATCTCATTCTAGAGTGTGTGGGAAAGTCCGACGCCGAATGTGCATGCGATTGAAAATACCCATGGAAGGATTTTGGTGGAGAAGTTTTGTGAAAGATCTCTTGCGCGACCGTTCTCTGACACAAATTAGTTCACACATGCCATACAGATGAATTATAAGGCCTATACTGCACTGACGAGGCCTAAAAAGTTCAACGTAGTGCGCAATTATATTGACAAACAATGCAAATGTGCAGCGCTGCGATTGCTTGCTCACACCACTGCTAGCGGAAGGGCCTCCTCTAGAGTGAGCTCTATAGTCGTTGGCCTACTCTTCCACGCTGACACGATAGCTATCTTGGAAGAGGAGATGGGAAGGCCACACTTTACCATTCTATATGCAACCAGCCAATCGAGTGACTGTGGTGGGGTGGGGGAGATTTAAGAGACGTACCCGTTGTTGTTGTTGTTTTAACTACCACGCCGAGGGGGAACAATTTCAAACGGTTGACCTTTGGAGGCCCAGAGGTCGCGGTAACGTCCTATCACGGACAGTGACTTACCAGTGACTTAGTGATGCAAAATATATACACACGCCCCCCCGTTTCAAACATTCCAAGGCAGAAAATCTCTTCAATCAGCCTTCAGGCTTCCCTTTCCGAACGTGGCAATATGGTGTTGCGTCCCGTTCCTGTCCCCCTTAACGCAGCGCGTCAGAAGTGCAATTCGCACGCTCGCGGTACGACAGTCACACGGGGGGAGGGGGAGGTGAGGAAAGGGAAGGACGGAGGGAGGCCAGGGAGGAGAGAGGTGAGGAAAGGGAGGGGGGGAGGGAGGGGGGGGGGGAGGGAGGGAGGGGGAAAGGGGAGGGAGGGAGCCCACCCCGGCTGAGGCCGTCGGGTCCACGCAGCACGCGGCACTCCTCGATGTGTCCGAACGCAGAGAACATGACCCGCACGTCGCCCTCGTTGCACTTTTTGGACACCATCCCGATGAACAGCTTCCGGTCCTCTGTGGAGCAGTGGCGCAGCGAGAGAAAGACAGAGAATCGGAGTGTTTATTTAGACTGGAGGAGGAATCCAGTCTAAATAATCACTCTGATTCTCTGTCACGTAAGCAAAATATGCCAATTTGTTACCCGTACAGCACACCGGTGTGTTGGAGAGCAAATCCACAACATTCAGAATTCACAACTTACTAATTGGCTGTGTTGGGTGGTGGCGGGTTTAACGACACATTTTATATTTAAGCGATCTAACCCCCCAAAAATAAACCTATATCATAAATAAATAACATGGCATTCGGGGGCGATGACGTCACTGGTGTTGGCCATGAGCGCAAATTGAACTCGGGTCGCTGGGTTCGTAGCGCAGTGCCCCCAACCACTCCACTGCCGCAGGCCAGACACGGGCACTAACACTGACAAAGAGAAACATGGGCACACGGATAAGCTCAGGGCTTCATTTCAGTCGGATCTGTCCAGGTCGCTAATCCTCAAAATATTTTTGCAGCCGGCACACCGCATCCAGTATACATCTAAACTATGGCTGCGGCTACGAGTCACATGCCACCATCACGTGCCACCTACTGCAGTCAACCAGCGACCCAGAAAACATTCAGTGTGGGGAATCATGCAGGGAACGATGCTCTGTAAATTCGAGGAAAGTTAAGAAAAAGATCACAGTTGGGGACCGGCTTAAGACCATCATCACACGCCTCTACTGTGTGGAATATCCACAGCATTTGCTGTTTGGATTGATGGACCCTGCCATAGGAAGGTGGAACTTTCACCACTGGCTTAGGGTTGCTAATAGTGATGAGCACCACGCAAAAGTTCATTTGACTTGTAGATTTTTTTAAAAAAATGTTATTCCGCTTTCAAATTAGCCTGAATAAGAACGGCGTTGACATTTGTGAACTACACGGGAATTTCTTGATAATAACGCCCACCTCAAAGGATGCTCTTAATGAGGTCATCAGTGACAGACAAGCAGGGAACATAAAAAGCGTAACACACAAGGACACATGCAAAGACGAATGAAAGCAAAGAGAAAGATCTCCCATGTAGCCTTCAGAAGACTGTTATACCTAGTGCAGTTAGCGAGCACCTATTAAGGCCAGGTCAGCACACAAAGGGGTGACTGGCCAGCACCACGTCCGGCTGCCTTTGTCTCCCCAGTGTTGATGTCTACTGCACCAGCTAGATAGATTAGACATATTTTACTTATTTCATGGGCTTTCTGCAACGGTACAGATGTTATACAGTGCAGACTTCTGATACAATCATGGTTACATAGAGATGCAAATTCACTTAAGGCTGAGTCAAACCAGGGGAGATTCAAGACCACTTCAAAAACCCGTCAGCAATGTTGGCTGTGAGCGGGAATCGAACTCGGTTTGCCGTGTTCGTAGCAAAACGCGAACCACTGCACTACCACTCCCCATGTACATAGTAGGCAGATACATAAGGACACACCGAAGGCATAACACATGGATACCCACAAATAGCGGTTCACGCAGAGACATGCACGGTGACATATACATATATATGTATATATGTTGAACTTCTTTCGCGCAGGACGTAGCCAACCGTGCTAAACGGGAGGTGCGGGGCTAATCAGAGGCACAAGTACGCACGTTTTGTGGAATGCAGAGGCTCGCGAACACATGGGGGAGGCTCAACAACTGGTCGTACAGATGGAAAGCTTTAGACCAAATCACCGAGAAAAGGCCTGAGACATCGTCACAGCTCTCAGATGAAAAATCTCTCCGCTGCGCATGGGTCCTGTGTGCAGGACCGTCCATAGGGGGGAGGGGAGGGGCGTGCGAGGCCCGGGGCAAATCCTACTGTGTGCCCCCCCCCACTCCACCGAGGCCTTCAAATTAAACCAAAAGTATTACGTCTAACACCGTGACGGTAAAGTGCGGGGGCCCCGCAAAAGCGCGGGGCCCGAGGCGGTCTCCCCGATTTGCCGTGCCCTAGGGGATGGCTCTGCCTGGGGGTCATGTGACGATTAGGCCGAGTACCTAGATGTACCTATCTCAGCACTGTCCGGGATCAAAAACCTGATTAGCCTTTTTCCGAGACCTGCCAAAATCGGGAGCCATTCCGGGTGATTTGGTTATAGCCTCACAATGGGCATTTCATGTAAAACACAGGTGTACACGAGAGAGCGCTCACAATATCCTTTACATAGAAGGACACACACATGAATGTATACATATAGGCGTACATGCGTTAATGTGCATAAGTATATACGTATATATGTGCATAGAGTGAGGGAAAAAAGTATTTGATCCCCTGCTGATTTTGTACGTTTGCCCACTGACAAAGAAATGATCAGTCTATAATTTTAATGGTAGGTTTATTTGAACAGTGAGAGACAGAATAACAACAAAAAATCCTGAAAAACGCATGTCAAAAATGTTAAAAATTGATTTGCATTTCAATGAGGAAAATAAGTATTTGACCCCCTCTCAATCAGAAAGATTTCTGGCTCCCAGGTGTCTTTTATCCAGGTAACGAGCTGAGATTAGGAGCACACTCTTAAAGGGAGTGCTCCTAATCTCAGCTTGTTACCTGTATAAAAGACACCTGTCCACATAAGCAATCAATCAATCAGATTCCAAACTCTCCACCATGGCCAAGACCAAAGAGCTCTCCAAGGATGTCAGGGACAAGATTGTAGACCTACACAAGGCTGGAATGGGCTACAAGACCATTGCCAAGCAGCTTGGTGAGAAGGTGACAACAGTTGGTGTGATTATTCACAAATGGAAGAAACACAAAAGAACTGTCAATCTCCCTCGGCCTGGGGCTCCATGCAAGATCTCACCTCGTGGAGTTACAATGATCATGAGAACGGTGAGGAATCAGCCCAGAACTACACGGGAGGATCTTGTCAATGATCTCAAGCCAGCTGGGACCATAGTCACCAAGAAAACAATTGGTAACACACTACGCCGTGACGGACTGAAATCCTGCAGCGCCCGCAAGGTCCCCCTGCTCAAGAAAGCACATATACATGCCCGTCTGAAGTTTGCCAATGAACATCTGAATGATTCAGAGGACAACTGGGTGAAAGTGTTGTGGTCAGATGAGACCAAAATGGAGCTCTTTGGCATCAACTCAACTCGCCGTTTTTGGAGGAGGAGGAATGCTGCCTATGACCCCAAGAACACCATCCCCACCGTCAAACATGGAGGTGGAAACATTATGCTTTGGGGGTGTTTTTCTGCTAAGGGGACAGGACAACTTCACCGCATCAAAGGGACGATGGACGGGACCATGTACCGTCAAATATTGGGTGAGAACCTCCTTCCCTCAGCCAGGGGATTGAAAATGGGTCGTGGATGGGTATTCCAGCATGACAATGACCCAAAACACACGGCCAAGGCAACAAAGGAGTAGCTCAAGAAGAAGCACATTAAGGTCCTGGAGTGGCCTAGCCAGTCTCCAGACCTTAATCCCATAGAAAATCTGTGGAGGGAGCTGAAGGTTCGAGTTGCCAAACGTCAGCCTCGAAACCTTACTGACTTGGAGAAGATCTTCAAAGAGGAGTGGGACAAAATCCCTCCTGAGATGTGTGCAAACCTGGTGGCCAACTACAAGAAACGTCTGACCTCTGTGATTGCCAACAAGGGTTTTGCCACTAAGTACTAAGTCATGTTTCGCAGAGGGGTCAAATACTTATTTCCCTCATTAAAATGCCAATCAATTTATAACATTCTTGACATGCGTTTTTCTGGCTTTTTTTGTTGTTATTCTGTCTCTCACTGTTCAAATAAACCTACCATTAAAATTATAGACTGATCATTTCTTTGTCAGTGGACAAACGTACAAAATTAGCAGGGGATCAAATACTTTTTTTCCCTCACTATACGTACATACATACATGCATGCGTACATATGCACACACATACATATGTACATACATGCGTACATACATATGTACATACGTACATGAAGATGTTTGACGCCGGCACGTCGCAATGTACCACAACCGACAATAACGCGATAAGATATCAAGTTTGTAAAAAAAAAATGTCATCTAATTACAGCTTTAACTCAAAGCTGACGTCTGCTGACGTGGGTGTAGACATTTACGACCTCATCGGACCGTTTAGTTGCTCAGAGGCATCAATGGAAGTCCTGCATTCTGCTCACGTTTTGAAATGGCAACGCAAAACGTTATGCACAGTCGTCAGATTTAGATAGGTAAGTGCACTGCGTTGCTTTTTTTTCTTATTGAAAGCATTTTCACGTGAGCCAGGCTTCTCCACTCACCATTTGACTTTTCACTGTCAGCTGGCTTCATCTGAATTGGGTGGTGCATCTGCGTGGGATGGGAACACAAAACGCAAGATTCTGCCATTAGTCATCGATCCCGCGCACACCACCAGGACCAGCACCGTCAGAAGGGCCGATTATATATTAAAAAAGAGCCACAGGAGGCGAGATGTTAACTACCTCGCCTGGTATACAGAAGGTCGTGGGTTCGACCCCGACCCCGACGCCTGCTGCTGTATATTTAGAGTTTGCACGTCTTGCCTGTAGTCGCGTGGATTTTTCTCCGGGTCCTCCGTTTTTTTCCCCTCCACATTTGGAATCGACTTCACGCGTTTAGAGAATTTGGCTGCTATACATTTCCACGCGATAAGGCGCTTCATTGAGCTATCATTTGTGGTAGCCAGGTCGCTTCTGAAAATGCGCTGTATATCTCAGTGTGCCTTACTTGGTTAAAATAAAAATGAAAAACTGTATAAAACTTTTCAGTTTTAGTTTTTAAAGGGTAACACGGCATACGAGACGATGTTTGGACCATTACCACGGCCAGCTGCCTCTGTCTAACCAAAAAACGATGCTAACACACGGGCACCGAGCGCTATGTTTTGTTTTGCCGAGTCAACAAAGTGGAGGCCCAGTTCAGGTTCAGATAACTAATTGTCGCGGCTGTGATGCATGGCCAGGAATAGAGCACTGGCTGCAGGCTCGACTAATGACCACGGCACTGCTCCTCATATCCCTGAGCTCATAAGCACGCTCATATTAATGACAGCAACACACACAGGCGCACAGAAGAAGAAAAAAAAAAACCTCCAAGATGTGTTTAGCAATTGGACTGTAGGGACACAAGTGCCCTTAGTGAGCACCAACGAAGATTTGTGCGAAGGCGCGTCAGAGCGATGTGGCCAACACCACACGCTTGGCCGCATTTGTCTCCCCAGGGGGCGATGTTTACACAAAGAGCGCAAGATTTTAAGTTTTCGTGACTGCAAGGATCCATATTCTTTGGTTATTTCGGTAAAGTCACGTAGGTGAAAAAAATAAAATAAATTAAATCACGACGTTTCGATTGCAACACAAGCAATCATCATCAGCAAGAAATATTTTTTTTACTGAAGATTTCTTGCTGTGGTTGTCACACCTGATGATGATTGCTTGTGTTGCAATCGAAACGTCGTGATTTTTTTTTTCCACCTACGTGACTTTACCGAAAGAACCAAAGAATATCAAGAGCGCAAGTGCCCATTTAAGGTTGAGTCGACCTAGGGGAAGTTCACGAGGAGTTCAGTGTCGATTTAACATTTGATGGCAATCTTCGTCTGGGAATAAAATTCGCATTGATTTTATCACAGCACCGTGCACGAACCACTGCAACCAAACACAAACAAAGAGACAGGATCCCCCGAATAGCTTAAACAGACTTTTGGGGGCAAGCGCTATTCGCGAGCACCTAATAAGGCCGGCACGGCACACGAGGTTGTGGGTGGCCAGCACTATGCCCGGCTGCCTTTGTCTCCCCGGTGGCGATGTTTGCACACCGAAGTAGGTACTCATTTTGAGGTTGAGTCGAGAAAACACACACACACACTCGTATGTATGTATGCATGCATATAGGCCCATGTTTCGTCTGGACAGAACAAAGGTCAGGAGGGTCAAGTGAATCCATTGCATTTCCCCCAGTGCTGATTCTCACTAGATCGTAGTCTAACTGGCCTTCCTGTAAGCATCGTTGTTAGCGCTGGCAATGTGGTGGTTGCTGTTGTTTGTAATGTATTTGGCGATTACATTGCTTCTAGTTAAAAAAAAATTAAGTTGTTGTAATTGCTGGCAAAGCCTTTATAAGTCACCGGTTACAATTGCTGTTGGTTTGTTACCGTTCTTGTAATTGTTGTTAAATAGTCGAAGGGCACAATTCACGAAAATCCACAGTTTGAGATTATTATAATTTTTCTCCAGAAATTCTGCTGGCAGGAATGGGTAGGGTGCCTCTCCACACCGAAACCCGGCCGACAAGCTAAGGATAGGACCAAGAGCATTTTGTGGTGGGGTGCGAAGACATCGCGACAGAATTCCCACCCATGGCGAGAGCGAACCAATCAGGATCTAATCTCTCTGATTCAAATACAAAAGGGCAAAATGGGACCGTTTTTGCCTATAAGACAATGCATATATGATCAGAGCATGTTTGTTTGCATGTTCACCACAAGTACTGTGTGTGTGGTTAATGCAAACCTTGATTCCTTGCAAACAGTTTCTATTTGGGGTTTGAACATCTTAATACCTCTTTTATTTCCAGAGAGGGTAAATCCTAATCTTATTTTTTCAAACAAAATACAAAGATCCCTGTATAGCCTGACACACATACATACGTACGTACACAAACGTGTGCGAATTATTCTGCAAAGCCATGGACAACCTTGCTCAACACTTAACTCGGCAGCAATCGTCGTAACGACACTCCAAGTTCAAACAATGTCAACGGCAACAGAAATGAGCCAGATTCATGGATGAATTGGATTGAAAACGAATTTCCAGTTTGAAAACGAATTTCTTGAGAACTGCTTTTTGTGTTATAGTTTGTTGTCCTTCGCCCGCAACTCCGATTAGCACGGTTGGCTACGTACTGTAGGAAAAAAGTTCAATATCTATACATAATCATCATCTTCATCACTATCGTGCGGGTGGGCTAATCCCACCATGACTGACCTCATTCCAGTAGTATTTACGAGAGTCTGGCAGACAGTATTTTTAAACTGCACTTTCTGAGTCATCGTGCTCAATCCGCACTCCCTTAATTTCCCAAGACCACGGGGAGTTCACATCGTAGGGGATTCCACCTCCAATATCATCCAGAATCTTGGTACAAAAGTTGCAGAAGGATGTCTCAAAGTCTCTGTCCCAACTCTGCTCTAAACCTTCGACCCATCATTGCAAAAACGGCATCTGGTGAACTGCTAAATGCAGAGGAGCCAACAATGATTCATGTCAGCATGTACGTTGAACTTCTCTCGCACCGTATGTAGCCAACGGAGTTGCGGGCGAAGGACAACAAACTAAACACAAAAAGCAGTTCTCAAGAAATTAGTTTTCAATCTAGAAATTCGTTTTCAAGTGAGAAATTAATCTAATTCATCCATGAATTTGGCTCATTTCTGTTGCCGTTGACATTGTTAGAATTTGGAGTGTCGTTACGATTATTGCTGCAGCTGCTGCTGGTGCTGGTGCCAGTTGTGGTGACGGAAAGGCAAAGGCGCTCACCCCAGGGAGAGTCTTGATGTTGTGCAGGGCATTTTGGGCGTCCAATGCCGACTTGCGGGTGTAAAAGGTCACGAAACAGCAGCCTGCCCGGCACACCGACCCAACGCACGCACGCATTCACGCTCCGCCCAAAAAAAACACAAGAGCCATCGGCCGCCAGGCACGCGGGGTGAAACGTTGTATGTACGTTGAACTTCTTTCGCACACCGTACGAAGCCAACCGTGCTAATCGGAGGTGCGGGGGGGAAGGACAGCAAACTGCAAACACAAAAAGCAGCGATAAAGAAATGAGTTTTCAATCGACATTGATAAGCGCATAGCTCCGGCGGCTTCCTCATACTATCACGCCGGACAACACGCGACACAACCCGGCGTTGACGCTACGCCCACGATGATGTAACTGCAACTAAAGATGCTACGAAGCAATGCAAACATTCCCGCCAAGCCCTTAAATAACGCAGGGCCTAGATACAGCAGCAGCAGCAGCGCTCGCTGGGCCCGCTCTCGCATCCCCCTCCCACCCCGTCCGCGTTGTTTGGACCTCTGCTCTGCGGGGGGTTCTGTGTGCGGTCGCGCAGGACGTTGATCTCGTAGACGGGGCCAAACGACTCGAACATCTCCTTGAGCTCCTTCTCGCTCCAGGCGCGAGGCACCTGCCCCACGAACATCTTGATGGCGTCCGGGTCCGGCTGCTCCATGTGCTCCAAGCTCCCGTTCATCGTGGACTTGTTGAGGCTGCTCTTGCTGCGTGCAACAAACAAAGACGATAAATAGATCTCACCCACCGCCCACCCCCCCCCCCACCCTTATAGCCTGCAACAGACTTTTTTTAGTTGACCTGCAGAGTCGCCGACTTGTCCCCCTTCACATGTAAATTTATCGAACCGTGACCACGTTTGACACCCATTGCTCCCGCCCAAAATCAAAAGAAATGATCACTTGTGCCCATGGCCACACGACCGTGCCTTACCACGTAGGACGTCTCTGCTAGGAGACCAGCACTTTATCGTTTCGCATGCTTTATTTTAATTGTTATTAATCTCGAATTCTTGATGGTGGCTACACCCATTGACGTTTGCATTTTATTGTCTAGAACAGCACCATCTGATCCCCTTTCCCTTTCCACCCTTTGGGGAGTGTGTTGTAGCCGTTACCACCATTCCCTTTCCACCCTTTGAGCAATGTGTTGTAGCCGTTACCACCTTTGCCCTACATTTTTTTATCATGTATTTCTAAAATGATGTACGCAGCTGCGGCATGTCGGCTGCTCTGACTCACTTATGTGTGAGAGTGTGAATAAACGATTTATATTATAAGTGCTCTTAGCGAGCGCATGCGATGGCCGGCACGGTACACGAGGGGTTGGGTGGCCGGTACCACACCCTACCACCCTTATCCCCCCACCCCCCCTGGTACGGTGTGTGATGCTTACACACACCGTACCAGGGATTCATTTCACGCTGAATTGACCTAGGGGAGGCCCAGGACCGGTTCAGATCATCGTCACTGGTGATGGCCGTGAGCGGGAATCGAACTCGGGTCGCTGGGTTCGGAGGGCGGTGCACTGACCGCTGAACAACCGCTCCCCGACACACAAACAGAAACACATAGACGCACACATAATGTGAAAGAGAGACATTAGTACATTGTTTTTTGACCATGCTTCTATGTAGAACAAGGACTGGTGAGACAATTCAAGACTCAGTGAGAAGAGGTGAGGCAGTGGCGTAGCTCTTGAGTGTGCCGGCGGTACAAGGGCACCAGGGCCCTCGGGACAAAGTGGCAATGGTATGAAGGAAATTAGACGGGGACAGGGTGATGTTTTTTTTATTGAAAACTCACTACTTCAGAACGGATTTTTGTTGTCCTTCCCCCGCACCTCCGATTGGCTACGTACGGTGTGAAAGAAGTTCAACACGCGTACACGCAATTAATTCCTTGCACCAGGGCCAACGCTACGCTGCTGAGGTGAGTGGAGAGATGCGGGTGGTGTGCAAGGGAGTGGAGAGGTGGAAAGGTTTACTGACAGAACCGGGTGTTTTTAATGTTGAGCAGCGAGGTATGGAAATGCACTTGTGCAAAAGGAACTCTTTCCCACAAATAACTACACCACCCCCCCCCCCCCACAGAAACATTCACTCACATTATATGCCAATGTGCTGCCCCAGCATGGAGGCTACAGCACTGCAATCTGGTGGGACGTGGGCCCTCTGTTTGGCGCAACGGGGCCTTCGTCACGGACTTGTTGCTGAATGATGACAATTATGGGAAATTGACGGCAGCTCACACAATAAGAACCGTTCATCGAAGTCAATCTCATCCCTGGGACACAGCATGGCTTTTACTCTGGCTCCAGTTGTTTCCAACCCCTTTTGCGACACTTGGGCCACTGTCAAACCTTCAAAACATTTCCACGGACCAGCGCACAGCAAAGAAAAATATATGTGTTTTGTGACAATTAAATAAATCGTGTTCTATAACGGTTACGTGGCTTTGCGGGACCACCAGTGTGTCCAGAGACCACACGTTTGGAACCACTGCCTGGAAGACTCATACGAGCAGTACCGTATATATTCGCTCGCCGAAAGATGACTTGGCGATTCCTTTACGTAATAAGACATTACATTCCTTGTGCAAGGTCGTGCAAGGGGCCTCTGACATGAATACCTAAGACGTTGTGATGGGTCGCTTTGGCCTAGGGCCGTAGCCAGCCAAAAGCCCTGACCGGCGATCAACTCTCGCCCGTGCCTCTCATCCATTGCTCCACCCATGTGACGCATCACTCTTCATTTCTTAATGCCCACCACCCCGCGTGCAGAGGGAACCCAAATGAAAACGACTCTGCGCTCAGCTTGCTAACGGCACCAGTTGTCATGCTGGGCAAAACACAAAGCGAATCTCTTAACTGGACCGTGAAACAACGTCGAGACGTAATAATGCAACAACATGCCCGTGGCCTGTCATGGGTATTACCCAATAACAAGTGCACGTACACAAGCAACAGCTTAATATTCCCCAAGGCTGTGCCTGCGTTTAGCAAAAAAAAAAACGCAAGCAACAGATTGGATTTATAAAGGAACACTTTACGACGCAGGCAATTCCAAGCCGTCGCTATCTATTTTTCTACGCGGCTTCGGGGGACCGGGTTATCAGTGTGCACTTGAGCATACTATGAGCGGTGAATCACAGCTCGTGTCCCATCGCATGTTATACAATGCCTGGGGCTTAATCAAAATATCAGTCCAATAGATGGGAGTGTACATAAATGTGTTAAGCGTCTGTATCATTCCAACATTTTAAGTACAGTACTGCGCGTACTGGACAAGTTGTACTCCACGTGCTATGGTTAACTTTGTGGGCTGTAAATGACGTGCAAAAAGTATTACAGGGAGACGCACTGGCACAGTGGCTAACATACTGCATGACGTATGAACCCCGTGACCCGAGTTATTATTCTCAGCCATGGCTAATATCAATAGCGATTGATATCTAAAACGGGATTTTGCATCCCCTTCACCATCCCCCCTCCCCCGCCGTTCCTCCACTGATCAGCATGGGGAAGTATGGTCAACAACCCCCATTGACTGACACATCACCCTCGCAGCGGCTTTTGGCCGCTCATTAAACAAAGACGGTCACTGCACCGCGCGCTTTCAGGTGCGATTCTGCGGCCCTCTGGAACGCTCTTCCACCCGATATTAGGAAGGCACTGGAGCTGTGCACTTTTAAATCGTCTACATTTAAAATGCACTTTTTTTAGAAGTGCTTTTTTGTGTTTAGTTTGTTTTCCTTCCCCCGTACCTCTGATTTAGCGCAGTTGGCTACGTACGACGCGAAAAAAGTTCAACGTACGTACGTGCGTACAAGACGGGCGAGCGTGGCCTGGGCGAAAAATCCCAGGCAATGCCCCATTACGATTCCCTACATGCATCATCCGGCGTCTTGGATAGATTGTGACTGCTGCTGCTGCTGATTAAAAAATTAGAACCCTCAACGTAGTATGCACTGAGCTGATCTATGCGGTCATGCGGTCAACGAACACTTGAGCAACTCAGACGCGTTGTTGATATCGCTTGCGCGATAGCGATGCTGTTGGCACCGTGACACGCGGGGGTTTCGACAATCCTCGCTCCACGGGGTAGGGTCCTCACCTTTCCGTTTTGCCAGATCCAGATAAGGCTCAAGTTTAGGGGAGGTTTTGTGGGCGGTGGCAGCAGAATGCTGAGCGGTGCGCTGTGGGATGCCAGGCCAAACGTACAATGCGTGCCGTCCAAATTCACAGTGGACGTTAAATATCCCGCGGTGTCATTTGAAGAAGGTGGAGGCCACTGTGCTGACTTTAAAGTCCAAACTCCTCAAATGTTTTTAATTACTCGAAAAAGACTTCATTGAGAAAGGCATGGGTCAATCGTTGTCCCCCGCCCCCCCTCTGTACTGTAAACATTTGCAAGGCTTTCCTGGAAACGCGTCTTGAGACTCAGTGAGTCTCAAGACGTGTTTCACTATTTCCCGCACCTCCGATGAGAACGGTTGGCGACATACGATGCATATGTACAAGAGGGGCGGCCATTGCCTGGGCAAAAATCCCAGGCAATGCCCGATTATGATTCCCTAATCATGGAGCTGTGCACCATAAATAAGTTTGCACCACCACCACCACAACAGCATATGGTGTGAATAATTTGGAATCTTTGCACAATGTTTGGGGGGATTTTATTATAAATTCTAATGCTATTACAGGCATGGGCAAAGGCAGCGAAGAGTCCATCTGAGTGCCCTCCTCGATAAATAAATAAAACAAGTTTTAGTTTTAATAGGTACACCACCACGCACGTGAGGAATCCAGGAAACAACCCCGAAACGACCACTGCAGAACTACCCACCTGAGCCCCACGAGTTTCTATTCGCCGTCAACAATTGTGTCGTACAACCGACCCGAATGTCTGGAGAACACGTCTCGAAGCGATCCGCAAATTCCAATGAACGGAGTGCAATTGGAAAGCTTTCTGCTACGCGGTTTACGCAAATTGGGCTAACATTACGGCAACAAAAAAATTGTACCTTCCTCTTCTGCTCAGCCCTTAAAATGCCGACCCACGCTGCCACTTACAATAAGCCTGTTACATGATGCTGCGAGATTTCAAAATCATACAATAGCTAGGCATGCGCTGTTTTTTTTTGGGGGGGGGGGGCACACGGGGGGGCCGGGATGCCAGGGGTAGGGGGGGGGGGGCTGTTTCCGAATCTCAACGGGCTTCCCGCTACATCGTATAAACCGAGGAGTGCCTAGGGTCAGCCGAGTTGATGACCTGCGAACATGGACGATGATTATATAATGGCTGGCGTAGTGATGACCGCGACACTGCTGCTGTCAGTCACGAGGCAGGCAAAGAGTTCCGTATCGGCAGCCGTGGGCAAGACCACGGCGCTCCAGTCCAGGAGAAACCCCAAACGCCTCTTAACGACGGTGATTGGTTCCCACGAAAGCGGTCGTTAAGTGATTTTGGTCGTTAAGCGAGTATAGGGAGTGATTTTGATCGTTAAGCGAGTATAGGGAGTACACGGTAAAGGCTTAATTCGTTCCGATAGCATTGAAAGTTACCCCTTTTTCACCCAAAAAACGTACCTTATAATATTCAAACAATGGATATCAATTCATAAAGATGCTAACGACATCATGGACACATACTATTAAAAGAAACATTGTTGATCAATGTATTAAAATTTACTCTACCCACAACAGC